TCGGCTAAAGTTTAAGAAAAAAAAAAAAAAAAGAAGAAAAAGTTAAATGAAATTTCCCTCCAATTACATAGCTAAAGAAGACCCTTTATTTTATTTATTTATTTGGAAACGGATTTTAGTCGATAAAGTTTCATACGCGCTTACCAACTTTTTTTAGAAAAAAAAATTACATTATAAATAAGTAATATTGCATATATAACATTTTTTATATTCATAACGTGGTAAAAAGATATCAGTTAAAAGTTTATTTTTAATTTAAATTTGTCAAACATCTTTCACATTTATTTTATAAAAATATTATATAAAAATATTCTTGTAGTATTATGCTTGATAAATAAGTCTCATAATGGTGGCCAGTACCTAAACATGTGTCTCTCAACCATTAGTAAATAGTGCTGGAGCTGGAGCCTACTGATGAATTTTCTAAAAATTTTGATGCACCAACATTTGCATTTTCGTATGTTGATGTTCTGATTTTTATACTAACGAAACATACGTATGAAATATTGAACTGGCTCAGAAGACACACATAAATACAAGAAAAGAGAATATATGAAAAAAAAAAAAAAACGTTTTTAAAGTGGTTCGGATGCTAAGGAAGCAAGTCCTACGTCCACTGTTATTTATTAATGATAGGGGTCAGGTCGTATAGCTGACGGACTTATTAATGATAGTACAAGCAAGTGAATGCTATAAATTATAGAGAGAGAGTAGCTAATTAAGAGTAAAAATGAACGAATTCCACAAACAAGATAATCTCTCTATTATAGTGGGATACATTGAGCTAATGATTACTGAATCTGTGAATTGGTGGATTATCCGTACAAATCCTTTTTTATGTCACATTACCATCTTCTAGAGTGATTTGCGCGATTTAGCACAGGATTGGACATGTGGGATCACCACAGCTTCTGACTGGTCTAGTGCACACCACTATTCTGACAGAAGCAGGCTGTAGGTATACCCTGTTCTGACTTTTACACGCTGACTGGGTCTTATGTAACCTTATATTTTTTAGGCATAACAGGATCCTTTAGCTCCTTTCAAAACTAATTTTACGCAACTCCTTCACAGACAAACTTGACTGGAGGTTATATTGTATATATCTTTTAGAAGTGAGAATAAATGGCCCTCAAAATTTTATTCCCCTTTTACTGACTAATTGCATTTTAGTTGTTAAATGTGGGATATTTGCAACTATGTTGGTTAGTTGTTAAAATTTGGTTGTAGAATATAAATTTTTTGGCCATGTATCTTTTTGTAACTCTTTTGAAAGGTACGAATATAGATATCCGAAATCTAAGTCCATTCAGCATTAAAACAAATAAGCAGCTAAGTAATTAATCATGGAAAATATTACATTCACAAATGTAGTACATCAAATTTGTGTATCAAATGACGTGGTAAAATCCTAATTATGATTAATTTTAATTTAAATCAATTAATTGTTAAGATTTATCACGTTATTCGATGTATAAATTGTAATATTACAGTCAATGACAATAGCATTACTAGTCTAATCAATACGTAGATAGGGAAAATTTGTTGATATATGGGAATGTTAATTTGCAAAGAGTTATCGTTACAAACTGACGTGTAGTTGCCACGTCACTTGCCACATCAATTAATGTTTTTTTTCCCCTCCATCGTTTTCATTTTCGTGTTCTTTCTTCTCCATCGCTCATTTTTTTGCTTTTTATTTTGTTTTTCTTCTCCATCGCTCTCTGTTTGATGAAATTGCTCTTTTTTTTTCCTTCTTCTCTGTCGCTCTGAAATCTCATTAAATGATGAGATTTCATTACAAAATCCATCAAAACTCCGACAAACCAAACCCTAAGCACTGAAACCATAGAGAGTCCGACACGCCGCCATGCCGAATCTTCATTAGCTTGATGTTGACACGCCTCCTATATATCGAATCGCCGCTTCATGATCCCCTGAATGTTGTCTCTGAGAACATTTTGCTGGATTCGATCCTTTCAAAAGGTCCCTATACTTTGGGCCCTCCTTAGATTTGGGGCAGAGGAAGTTCTATTCCGTGCAATCTCAGTTTTTCTATTTGTTGTTTCACTTATTTATTAAAAAAGGCTAAATTCAAACCGAATTAGTGTAATTGAAACAATTGTAATTCTTTAGACTTAGAGTTTTTCTTTAGGTTGTAATGTTGGTAGTGTTTAATCAGGTAACATTTTGTCTTCTGGTTAATTTTAATTACTGTGTTTGCTTGTTGGGATTATGTTATGGGTTTAATATATATGGATTATGTCATCTTCCAGAAATGCTTGGTTCAGTCAACTCTTCTATTTAATCTTATCAATTATTCTATCCTATTTAGATAGTTTTTATAATAATATTTTTTCCAAATAACTTACCAAACATGCCCATATATTTCAAAAACTCTTAAGAGCATATTCTTTGGTCCATTAATACATTCACATAATCAGATAACTGTTAGGATTGGATTACAATTACAAAACAATGGGCGGTAACTACTAATTAGCTAGCAAAGAATATCTTCGTGTTTATATAGGGTAATACTAGGTCCACAATCTAACCTCACAATATGACAACTCGTTATTAATTAGCTTATAAAATAGGTTTCATCTGCTTGTATGAGTTTTATCTATCCATTTTTGAGCTAACCAATGATAAACTGTCACATTAAAAATTATAAGATTAGAATATGAAACTAACATTACTCTTTCCTATTGCCTTTAAAGCTACCAAAAGTCTCTCTCGCATGATCAGCGATAGTAACAAAAGATATTGCGCTTACTTTTGAAATTACATCATACCAAACTCCCAATTATTGAACTTATATACATTGAATGTGAATTGACAAGGCCCAGGACTCCTACTGAAAGGTTATCATTGTTATCAGTTAACTTGACGACATGCCCCATTCTAGTCCACATATATTCAGATCCAGTCGGAAGAAACAGTTCATAATAGTCCTCAAACAACAGACGGCTGGACGAAAATTCTCTCCAACAGCTTCCTTGAAAAGACGTTAATGGGAGGCAGCCTAAATTTTAGTCAATGGTGTCGAATTGTCAAGAATGTCATCACACTCATTGTTTATACTTTAAACTACTGATATATGATAATGGGTTAGCTAGCTGCAAATTTATATCAATTTTGACCCTCAAACTATAGTGCTTTCAAACATCACATCTTTGATCTTCAAAGTAAACATTCACTCTAATTGGTCTAATTTGGCACTTTCAGGTGTTCTTTAATAGCTGGATTTATCTATATGCTCAATTAGATGAATCCAGAACTTACACTTTTGTGGTTTTAAAAGCTACCAATTGTAGTGGGATCGTGGACCTTTTGATAATGAGGTGATGGTGGGAATTGATGGGTTAATATTTGTTGATGTTTGATTTTGACACCAACAACTCGCACGTACAAAGTGTTAAACTATTATTAGAAATTACACGTGTATAATTGGGATAATCGAATGCAAAGACTAAAAAATAAATGAGAGATGGTTTTTAAAGTGATTTGGATGCTCAAAGCGAATCCTACGTCTACTATTTCTTTTATATATGAGAGATTACAAGAGGTCGCGTATAACGAACAACGAGCAGATATACAATAACTTAATATTCAGAGAGAATAACAAGTTAGTCTCTTTCTCGTAGGTTATTTTTGCTCTGAAAATAAATATTACAATCAGAATGAGGTTTTGAAATCAGAATCCTGAAAATGAGAAGGGGAGTCTTCTATTTATAGTAGATAAATTCAAGGTAATGATTACAAATCTGCAAGTGAGTAGGTGTCATGCAAGTCCTTCCTTATCTCTCATTGTCTGATAATTTAGGAGATATCCTTAAATTACTTAGGGCTTTGACAAGTGTGCGACAAAACCTAAATATGTAAAGTTGATGACAGTCATAGTCTTCATGTTATAGAGTGACGTGACAACTTCTAGACGACGCAAAGCCTTCCTGAACTCTAATTAGTGTTTGCTGACGTCGGCCCTAATTTTTTAGGCATAACAATATTGTTCATGAATTTTCAAAAATAAAGTGCCAACGTGCTCAAGCTGTATTAGTAGAAGTGTGGATATATTTTTCATACGAACGGCACTATCTGATTCAAACTTCGTGTTACACAATCATCATGAGTTAAAACGAGGAATTAATGTGCTCTAATTGTAATCGTTTGACATGCTGATTAATGTTTATTTTAATAATTTAATAAAGCAGGCCTTCCTGTTAACTAAAATGATATATATTTAATTGGGTATTATCACTTTCCTCCCCTGAGGTTTACTGAAAAACTAGAATGCCGCCAACTAGGCAACTATTACAAAAATCCCGAAACCTCCCCTCAGCTTTGAAAATTGATAAAAAGCCTCCCCTGGAATTTTAACGTTATATTTGCTAGGTAATCAAAAAGAGAGTCCTGAAATTAATTAACAAAAATTATAAGGATCAAATATCTAGGGACGAGTACTTTATAGGGTGGTTTGAAACGACTTCATTCTTTCTCAAAGCTGAGGGGACATTTCTAGGGTTTTTGTAACTGTTGGTAGCATTTTCGTTTATCAGTAAACCTCTGGGGAGGAAACTGGTAGTACCCCATATTTAATTAATCAATTTCTTTTGAAAATTCACACCAAACGGCTTTTAATTTTTTTATAGGTGCACGCATAGGCAACAGGAACCCACCTCCCAATTCGGCAATTCCCACATATGAAAGTGAAAGATTACAATTTTTTATTAATTTAACAATATACTTTATATAGACAAGACATTCTCCCCAGATCCACTTTTTGGTTGATTGTGTTAAAGACATGTGGCAAATACCCAGTTGACCATTTGGCAAGACAAGATAGGATGGTCTAATCTTCAACTCTGTTGCCCCTACAAAAATATACTATTTTTGTATATATAAGTTAGTCTCCTCAACTCAAAGGGACAAGCGCTTACATACGACAGTTTCAAATTTCTGTGTTCTTTCTCTTTTGCATTCACATTCTAAAAGAAAAAGAAGAATGACTGCAGCTACTCTGGATCCAAGTTTAAGCATAGAAATGCATAGAGATCCTAATGAGCATGGATCTGTTATAGAAGAGATTGAAGGGCTTATTAAAGTCCACAAGGATGGACATGTGGAGAGACTTCAAATTGTTCCATTTGTCACAACTGCATTGCCTCCGGAACTCGGTGTCAATTCAGGAGATACAGAAATTGACAAGTTCACAAACATATGGGCACGTTTCTATGTTCCAGTATGCCACAAAAAGCTCCCTTTAATCGTCTACTTCCATGGCGGTGGATTTTGTGTTGGCTCAGCTGCCTGGAGTTGTTACCATGAGTTCTTATCAAAGCTAGCAACAAGAGCAGAGTGCATAATCATGTCAGTAAATTATCGATTAGCCCCAGAAAATCCTCTCCCCGCCGCTTATGAAGATGGATTCAAGGCTTTCATGTGGCTAAAACAAGCGGCGCTATCTGGAACGAGTTACTGGTGGTCTAAAAAATGCAACTTTTCGAGAATTTTCTTAGCCGGTGATAGTGCTGGCGCTAATATAGCCCACAATGTAGCCACGAGGCTCGGTTCTAACAATGTGTGTGATCCAACAACAGTCTTAAAGCCTTTAACTCTCAAGGGTACTATTTTAATTCAACCATTTTTCGGAGGAGAGGCACGTACAAATTCCGAAAAGCATTTGACACAACCACCTCGATCGGCGCTGAACTTGGCAGCCTCTGATACATATTGGCGACTAGCGTTGCCATGTGGGTCTAACCGTGACCATCCATGGTGCAATCCGACAGCAAAGGGGTCGATAAAGCTAGAAGATCTGAGGCTTTTGCCGAGCATGGTGTGCATATCAGAGATGGACATATTGAAAGACAGAAACCTGGAGTTTTGTGGTGCCTTGGCTAGAGCGGGTAAAAGGGTTGAGCATGTGATGTATAAAGGCGTAGGACATGCATTTCAGATTCTGAGTAAGTCTCAGCTATCTCAAACTCGAACCAGTGAAATGATTGCCCATATCAAGGCCTTCATTAGTCGGTGATCCACCATTTCTCTCAAAAATTAGACATTAATTAATTTTGTATTTGGTAGGTGTGAAATAATTAAAGTTGTTTGTGGTTAATTATGACTGTTCTTGATCAGAAAATTTAGCTGGCCTTCAGTACTTCACTCACAGAAGAAGAAGAAGAAGATGCCTGATCAGGTGACTATGCCTGTCACATAGCTATTGGAACTTTGCGTGTGTATAGAATATGATTGTAATGCTATATCAATGGTTTTCACATGGTGAAAAAAAGGAATCCACCTTTGTAATTTATATATAAAATTTCTTATTGCTTTTAAACTCGTCTCTTCCTCTGTGTTTCCATGAAAAAGGGTGCAAAAGTTATTTTTACACTGCTTCAATTAATTACTAAGGTGGGAATTTAATTGATATATATTTTCTCAATGAAAAGAAGGGTGTATGGTTGGAGTGAGAAAATTTTAGACGGAGGTGGTGGTGGTGGGTGTGATGCAAAGAGTTGAATATGAACAGTAACAAAAGTTAGGCTTCGTTTGGCTCATATTTGGGAATACTACTATTAGTATTCCTAATAAAGTTAAACAGTAAAATTGCAAAATCTCACGGGTGCATTTGGTTTATTATTTTGAGTAGGATTTTGGGGATAGTATTGGATAGTTGAATAGGGAAGTATTACGAGATAAAATTTAAAAATTTATGAAAAAGCCCCCAAGATTTGCTAATTTAATAAACAACCCAATATATTAAAATATTATAAAATGACAAAAACACCCCTAACACCCAAAGTGCCAGATTCCGGCCACCACCGCCGGAATATGGCTGGAAAATTGGATAACCACAAAATCCGGTCAGATTTGGCAAGCATTCGGTTGATATGGCCTTTTCCGGCCATATCCACCACAGATCTGGCCAGAAAAGGCCAGATCTAAGGCCGGATGTGGCCTTCGATGGCCGGAAAAGGCCAACTTTGGTCGTCGTTGTCTGTCAACAATGGCCAAGATTTGGCAGTCGCTGATGGCCAGATCTGGCCTTTTCCGGCTAGATCCATGGCGGGTCTGGCAGGAAAATGTCAGATCTGGCTATTACTGGTGGTCGCGTGACTGTTGTGACAGATTCCGGCTACCACCAGTGGTGGTTGCCGGAATCTGGCAAGTATTGTGGGTGGGGGTGTTTCTGTTAGTTTTTAAACTTTTTTTTCTGGGGGGTATTTAATGAAATTAATAAACTTATGGGGTCTAGGAGTAATTAAAAAAATAGACTAATATTTTGGGAATAACGTGCCAAACAACATTTGAAGAATAGGATTGGGAATATGGATAAAAACAATAAGCCAAACGCACCCCACAATATTATTCAATATTATTCGACTTTTTTTAAACCCCCTAAATTTGTTAATTTAATTAAATACCCCTAAATATTTTTTTAAAAATTGCAAAAAAACCTTGGCAACCTGTATTTACCAGATTTAGGTCACCACCGTCGGAAAATGGCTGGAATTTGGTATAATGGCGCACTACCGGCTGAATATGGCTGGTAATGCGCCGATCTAGCCTTTTCCGGCCAAATCCATGCCAGATCTAAGGCCAAAGATCTGGCCGTAGTCAGTCGTCAATGACGGCCAACACATGGTCGTCGTTGACCATCAACGACGGCCGTATCTTTGACCGTCGTTGGCGAGCAAATACGGCCAGATCTGGCCATCAATGGCCAGATCTGGCAGAAAAAGGCCATATCGGCGCACGACTGACAAGATCCAACCAGTCATGCGTCGATACGACGACTCTGGCCACCCTCCGGCGGTGGTGGCTGACTGTTTATATTTAATGGGTGGGTTGGGGGTGTTTTTGTTAACTTTTAATATTTTATTATAGGGGTTTTTAGTAAATAAACAAACATAGGGGGGTGTTTAGTAAATAAACAAATATAAATGGTATTTTTATTTATTTTTAAATCCTACATCGTAATACCCATCCAATTCAGCTTTTTTTAACTTTTTTCCAAAAACTTTTCTAAAAAGTGTAAAAAAGTGAACCAAACGGAGCCTTAATTATTGTGGGTTGCTTTGTGATCGGCCGCCCCTACCAAAGTCAAACATCAACTGCCCAAGTAGATTTAATGAATATGCTCTCATATTAATCCATGACGTCCCAAAAATCTGCTAATGTTTGAACTAGAATTCGGCTAAAGTTTAAGAAAAAAAATAAAAAGAAGAAAATGTTAAATGAAATTTTCGTCCAATTACATAGCTAAAGAAGACCCTTTATTTTATTTATTTATTTATTTTGGAAACGGATTTTAGTCAATAAAGTTTTATATGTGTTTACCAATAATTTTTTTAAGAAAAAAAATTGCATTAATAAATGAGTAATATTGCACATATAACGTTTTTCATACAACAGAATGTGTCAAAAGATGATTAGGCGAAAGTTTATTTTTTAATTTAAAATCCGTCAATCTTTTTTAGTGGTATAAAAAATGTTTTTTTTTTTTTAGTATTATGCTTAATAAATAAGTCTCATAATGGCGGCCAGTACCACACGACACTTCTCTCTCAACCATTAGTAAATAGAGCTGGAGCTGGAGCCTACTGATGAATTTTCTAAAATTTTTTATGCACCAACCTTTGCATTTTCTGTAATTGGGATCTTTTTAACTCCTTTCAAAACTAATTTTGCGCAACTCCTTCACGCACAAACTTGACTGGAGGTTATATGTTATATATCTTTTAGACGTGGGAATAAATGGCCCTCAAAATTTTATTCCCCTTTTATTGACCAATTGCATTTTAGTTGTTAAATGTGGGGTATTTGAAACTAATGTTGGTTAGTTGTTAAAAATTTGGTTGTAGAATATATATTTTCTTGCCGTGCATCTTTTATCCAACTCTTTTAAAAGGTACAAAATATAGATATCCGAAGTCTAAGTCCATTCAACATTAAAACAAATAAGTGGCCAAGTAATTAATAAATTATGTAGGTAGGGAAAATTTGTTGGTCTTGTCGCTTAAGACATATAAGAAATGCTAGTCGCTTAAGACATATGAGAAATGCTAGCAGTGGCGGATTCAGAAATTTTTTTTAGAGTGGACCAAAATAAAAAATAATTACATATTAATATTTATGTTAAGGTGGACCAAAATCCAAAAATTATATATATTAATATTTAAAAAAAAATTGAGAGTGGGTCATGGCCCACCCAAAAATGGGCTGGATCCGCCCCTGAATGCTAGTATTACAAAGAGTTACCCCTACAAACTGACGTGGCAGTTTCCACGTCACTTGCCACATCAATTAATGATTTTTTTTCTCCTCTATCGTTTTCATTTTCTGTTTCTTCTTCTCCACTGCTCATTTTTTTGCTTTTTATGTTTTTTCTTTTCCATCGCTCTCTATTTGATGAAATCGCTCTTTTTTTTTTTTCCTTCTTCTCTGTCGTTATGAAATCTTCATTAATTGATAAGATTTCATTACAAAATCCATCAAAACTCTGACAAACCAAACCCTAAGCACAAAACCATAGAGAGTCTGGCATGCCGCCACGCCGAATCTTCATTGGCTTGACGGCGACACGCCTTGCTATACACCGAATCTCCGGCTTCGTAATCCCCTGAATGTTGTCTCTAAGAATAGTTTGTTGGATTCGATCCTTTCAAAAGGTCCCTGTACTTTGGGCCCTCCTTCGATTTGGGGCAGAGTAATTTCTCTTCCGTGCAATCTCAGTTTTTTACTATTTGTTGTTTCACTTATTTATTAAAATAATGGCTAAATTCAAACCGAAATTAGTGTAATTGAAACAATTGTAATTCTTTAGACTCAGAGTTTTTCTTTAGGTTGTCATGTTGGTTGTAGTTTAATTCAGGTAACATTTTGTCTTCTGGTTAATTTTAATACATGTGTTTGCTTGTTGGGATTATGTTATGGGTTTATTATATATGGATTATGTCAATGTTCCAAAAATGCTTGGTTCAGGTTTTGCATGAATCTTACATTCTAGAATACTGTTGGGGTTTTTGATATGTTGTCAATTTAATTTATCGTTTTGTTAAAATTGTGTTATGGGCTACATATAAGTGAGATATTTTCTGGATAATCTATTTTGAATTCTACAAAAAATTTCTGTTTTAATTTTTTAATTTCATAGTCTTTGCATAAATTTTCCATTTGAAATTGCCAATTATACTTTTTCCTCTCTATAGGGCACGAAGTCTGCTTTTTTTAAATGAATAAATGAAAACATTATTGTGTTATTGATGAGACTCCTTTAGTGCACGTCTTCAACAGAAAGAATAAGAGAGGGAATAAAGGATAAATGGCACTTTACTACGCATTAAGCATTGGACAGGTGGCATCTTTAGATTGGGTTTAAAATAATTCTGTTAGAGTGGAATTATGCATAAAAAAGGGTTGACAGGGACTATTTGTGGCATTGAAAAAGTAAAAGGGAATTTGGGTTAGGGAGGTACTGGCCCTCGAAGCCAGCTGGTTATCCTTAGTTATCTTATTTCTTTAGTTTTTCTCTTTTGTTCAATTTGCTTATTGTCAATTGCTGTTCATTTTCTAGATTGTACTTGGTATACCTTGTTGAGGATTGAACTGGTGTTGTTTTGAATATTGTTAGTAATACAAAGGTATTTCAGAAAGTTTGGTTGAATTGTCTTGCGTTTGTTATTGAGGTGATTGGGAATTTTGGGTATTTGTAGTGCATGAAGGATTTTGCAGGTTGAGATAGAAGGAGGGTTCTATCAAAGTGGTATCAAAGCGTAGTAACGATTGGGGAATGGTTGGAACAAGGATGGAAAACAGATTAGATATTTTGGAGAAGGACATGGGAACAATGAGGGATTGTTTGCTGGAAATCCAAGCTTGGATTAGACGGAAAAGACGAGGAGGAAGCTAGGAAAGCTGAAAGGGGTGGGTCGATAGAAATTTCGGTGAATCCGACTCCAAACACGAGGAGGAGAATGAGGAACCTAACCCAAACACAAACGATGAAAACACAATGACTGGCCGAAGTCGACCGGCATATGC